TGCTCATGGACTACCCCCTTGAAAAATTGTTTGAGTGATGTTTTTTTAATTGGGTTTTAATGAGGCATCATATATTTTGGGAAACTGGGCGTTTCTGAGAATTTCAAATGAAAGAAACTAAGAAAGGAATTAATTAAAAGGAAAATACTTTAGCTAGCAAAGGAAAAGGTAAAGGAAATGATTGAAAAAAACAAAAAATCATGACCTCAGGAAAGCAGTTGGACACAATAGTGTACCCGCCAAACAAACCACACTATTATGTATCAGGGTTGCTCATGGACTACCCCCTTGAAAAATTGTTTGGGTGATGTTTTTTAATTGGGTTTTAATAAGGCATCATATATTTTGGGAAACTGGGCATTTCTGAGAATTTCAAATGAAAGAAACTAGGAAAGAAATTAATTGAAAGGAAAACACTTTAGCTAGCAAAGGAAAAGGTAAAGGAAATGATTGAAAAAAACAAAAAATCATGACCTCAGGAAAGCAGCTGGACACAATAGTGCACCCTCCAAACAAACCACACTATTGTGTATCAGGGTTGCTCATGGACTGCCCCCTTGAAAAATTGTTTGGGTAATGTTTTTTAATTGGGTTTTAATAAGGCATCATATATTTTGGGAAACTGGGCATTTCTGAGAATTTCAAATGAAAGAAACTAAGAAAGGAATTAATTAACAGGAGCAGACTTTAGCTAGCAAAGGAAAAGGTAAAGGAAATGATTGAAAAAAAAAATCACGACCTCAGGAAAGCAACTGGACACAATAGTGTACCCTCCAAACAAACCACACTATTGTGCATCAGGGTTGCTCATGGACTACCCCCTTGAAAAATTGTTTGAGTGATGTTTTTTTAATTGGGTTTTAATGAGGCATCATATATTTTGGGAAACTGGGCATTTCTGAGAATTTCAAATGAAAGAAACTAAGAAAGGAATTAATTAAAAGGAAAATACTTTAGCTAGCAAAGGAACCTCAGGAAAGCAGCTGGACACAATAGTGTACCCTCCAAACAAACCACACTATTGTGTATCAGGGTTGCTCATGGACTACCCCCTTGAAAAATTGTTTGGGTGATGTTTTTTAATTGGGTTTTAATAAGGCATCATATATTTTGGGAAACTGGGCATTTCCGAGAATTTCAAATGAAAGAAACTAAGAAAGAAATTAATTGAAAGGAAAACACTTTAGCTAGCAAAGGAAAAGGTAAAGGAAATGATTGAAAAAAACAAAAAATCATGACCTCAGGAAAGCAGCTGGACACAATAGTGTACCCTCCAAACAAACCACACTATTGTGTATCAGGGTTGCTCATGGACTGCCCCCTTGAAAAATTGTTTGGGTGATGTTTTAATTGGGTTTTAATAAGGCATCATATATTTTGGGAAACTGGGCATTTCTGAGAATTTCAAATGAAAGAAACTAAGAAAGGAATTAATTAACAGGAACAGACTTTAGCTAGCAAAGGAAAAGGTAAAAGAAATGATTGCAAAAATCAAAAATTCATGACCTCAGGAAAGCAGCTGGACACAATAGTGTACCCTCCAAACAAACCACACTATTGTGTACCTGGGTGTAATTTTCTGTGGAAGGCATCTGGAAATTTTCAATGAATAAAAAATAATATTAAAAAATATAAAATAAAAAAATAATAAATTAAAAATTGTTGTAATTAAAAATAAAAATAAAAAATAGTTTAAAATAAAATAAAAAATAATTAAATTAAAAATAAAAATATTATAATTAAAAATAAAAATAAAAAAACAATTAAAAACTAAAAAGCAAAAAATGAAAAAAAAACACTTACACCAAAATCCTGTGGACACAAAACTGTACCCCTCGATCATTTCCAAAGATACAAAATAATTTTGGAGTCTGTGGACACAATTCTGTATCCCCACACTAGTCTGTATCCCACATTATTCAAATCTAAACTAATTAATTTCTATTTATCTATATATATCTCTATATCTCTATATCTCTATATATCCCCATCTCTATCTTTCTATCTCTCTATCTCTCTATCTCTATATCTCTCTATCTCTGTCTGTATCTTTATCTCTCTCTCTCTCTATCTATCCATCCACCACATATCTATCTATCCATCTATCCATCTAACCATCTATCAATCAATATATCTATCAATCAATATATCTATCTATCTGTCTATCTATCTATTTATCTATCGATCGATCGATCTATCTCTCGATCCCTCTATCTCTCTATCTCTATCTCTCTATCTCTCTATGTCTCTATCTCTCTATTTCTGTATCTCTCTATCTCTCTATCTCTCTATCTCTCCATCTCTCCATCTCTCCATCTCTCTATCTCTCTATCTCTCTATCTCTCTATCTCTCGAGATCTCTATCTATCTATCTATCTACCCTTTCTATCCTTTCTATCCTTTCTATCCTTTCTATCCTTCTTTCCACCCATCTATCTATCTATCCCATCCATGACAGTATGTATGGTCTGTATGGTATGTATGGGTACTGTGATGGGTATGGATAATGTTTCCTATGTAAAGTAGGTATGGTATGTATGGCATGTATGTTTGGTATTGTATGCATAGTAGGCGTGGTAATTATGTTTCATATGTATGGTATGTGTGGTGTGTAAGATAGGTATGATAGGTATGGTATGTATGGTTACTATGATGGGTATGGAATGTTTCCTATGTAAGGTAGTCGTGGTATGTATGGCATGTATGTGTGGTATTGTATGTATGGTAGGTGTGGTAATTATGTTTCATATGTATGGTATGTGTGGTGTGTATGATAGGTATGATAGGTATGGTATGCATGGCATCATTGGAATGTATGGTAGGTACGGTACATGTTAAACACATGTAGTGTTGTGAGAGCACACAGGTAGTAAATAGGAAGTAGATACGTAGCACATGTATATATGACTATCTATAGGTAGCACGCAGGTACTTTGAGGGAGTATGTGTAATGTGTGCTACGTAGGTCGCCTAAAAGGTAGCATGTACCTAGTAAATGCGAGGCTGGTAGTCAGAAATGCTGCAAAGACCTAGCAAATACGAAGCTGGACTTCAGGAATGCTGCCAATAGCTTGCAAATAGAAGGGAAGGGGGGTGCGACCTGGGGACCCAACCCATTGGGGGGTGGAGAGACGGAGGACGGGACCATATATATATATATTTATGTATATATATATATATATGTATGTATGTATATATATATATTTATGTATATATATATATATGTATGTATGTATGTATATATATAGATAGGCTCTAGCCTATTGGCTGTAGCAGTGAGCACAAAACAGAGCACAAAAAGGAGCCCGAGGCAGAGCGCCATTTTTTGCTGTTTCTGTTGTAGCTCTGCCTAATTGCCCGCGACCTGCCAAAGCAAGACAATTCAACCACAATACTTGCATGTGCAGCGGGCTGTGTGTCCGGGCACCATTCTGGGAACTCCATTGGGGCACTTCAAGTGTTCAACAGACAGGTGGGCTGATTCCTGGGGTGGCTCCCCCAGAGAAAACGAATACATAAACGAAGCTGTAACAGTCCACAAGACAAACTGCACGAAGCAGCCCGCCAAAAAGCACGAACTGGAGCACGCAAAATGGCAAGAGGCAACCCACGACCTTCCACATGAACTGCACAAACCGTAAGACTTCCTTGCAAGACTCCAACTGAAATTCGCATTCTTCGTCCAACTGGGGCCTTAAAACACTGAGCTGATTCCACGCGGTCTGCAGCTCTGCCTCGCTTGGCAGCTCGGAGGCCATGTTGAAGAGAGAAGGAAAATAAGTCAGCAGGTCAGCTTCTAGCTTTTGAACCCTTAATTTCTTTACAAACATGTCAGCATATGAGCATGTAAGCATGTGAGCAGATCTTTGACTAAGTGATAGGTCATATGATTTACGTGGGGAGTTGCAGCCACATGTTTAAGCATTGCGAATTCAGCGATTGGAGTGAAACTTCAACAAAAGCTCAATAATTTGCAAACAACAACAAGCTGGCAATACCACTGGTCAACAACAAAACACAAACAACACAAGTGACAACTAAAGACTGCTTTCCAAGATTGGGACCTCAGGTCGTCCCAACAGGCCAGGGCGAAGAGACCAAAGAGGACCAAGCATCACCTGCCAGAGCTAAGACGAATTGCTTTCAAAAGGCGAACCGGACACACATGATGACATGTGACTCAATGCCTTGCTGCGGAACTGACCTTCTCACCGCAAATGCATGCAGGTGTGCGCTGCTTCACACTGATTGCCCAGCTGTCATTTCCCCAGCTTCAGCCGATAGACCTGGGAAGCTCAGACCCCATGGTTTACTGCTCTATTAGCCATAGTAGGCTTCTCAAAACCCAGAAGACATTTCTCGAAAACAATGCGCATTGTGTACTATATATATATCCACATTGCCTGCTTCAGTTCCTTTTCGGTACTGATTCTTGAGGTCGCAGCTAGCAACAGATGAAGGCAGCTCCACCTAGGCTCAAACATATAGGGCAGCCAGCATTAAAACTTGGAAAGAGGTCAAACTTCAAGAACATTTCGAAATGTGTCTTTCAGTCTTCTCGACTACTGATTTCTCCACAAATTCAAAATTCGAAGGGCATTCGCAGCCATCCTGAGCTAAGTGGCTCTTGTCAATCTAATGGCTGACTACGATCAGTGAAAAACTTCGAATCAAGTGAAGTTACCACCATGATCCATTGAGTCACAAGCACAGCTATTCCAAACTTGGCGCATGTCAAACAGGACAGTCAATTCAAGTGGGACGACATGTGCAGCCAAAGCCAGATTCTATAAGTGAAAAGATTCAAGGCCAAGATTCAGCTGGACCTTTTCCGATCAAGTCCTGTCCTTTTTCGACATGTCGTAGAGCCGGGCCTTCTCATTTCCTCAGTGAGTCAGACTTTACAAGCAAAGCCAGCAAAAGTTAAAGAGACAAACAGTGAAAATTTCAAATGCACTGACTGACAGACAGAGTTGCTATTTGCAGATTCAACAGAATAATCAAACATTGACATGTTCCCCATCCAAAGTTTGCCGTGGATGGACCAGCTTATTTGAATCAGAGCGGCGGATTGCCTTCATGAGCCAGCCATCAAAGGACTCATCATCTTGGGCCCGCTTGTACAGAAGCCTGGAACTGAAGCAAGGGACATAGCAGCAAAAAACTGTTCCCAATGCGAGCAAGCTGCTAGTTACAATCCTGTCAACGGCTCTTCATTATGAAAGCTTTCTGCCCACTAACAAACAACTCAGAACAAGAGAGCGTAATAGTTTATAATGATATGTTGCCTCACCAAGCGAATCGTTGATATGGAACACGGCAAGCAATCCAGCAGATTCAGATATAATGCACTTCGCTTCGCTAGCCACAGTGCAAAGCACGAAAGACATGTTCAGCATGTGCATACTACCAATTTCCCTCAGTACTTACTTCTACTTAGCTTGTTGGGCCCAGGCACAAAATGGCAGCCTGGGACACGAGGGGCAAAGTTGACAATCTGCTGCCCACGGTCGTAGAGATGCGAAAATCACGCAAGATTTCACACCTTGATCAGCCGCATGTTGGCCCCCAGCGTTTTTGTGCATGTGTGTATGATGTGACGAATTTCTTCATTGATTGTGCATGATGGTGCCATGTTAGCATTGCCCAACCCAATCCTTGCCAAGAAACATCACTGGGTCAGTAATTTGCCCATATCCCCGCAGCCCTGGTGGTGGTGGCGCAACCGGCTGGGCTGGCTGTGCCACTGGTTCGGCCGGCGGTGGTGCTGGTGGCTCAGAGGGTCCTGCGCTGCTGCTGGCTGCTGCTGCTGCAGCAGCAGCAGCTGCTGCTGCTGCTGCTGCAACGCGATTTCTGGGCCCAGGTCTGGCCTGCAAGATCCAATGACAAAGTTGATACTGAGACACTTCACTTCAGTAAGTTTTGTAAACAGCTTGTGTCACGCAAATTAAGTTTGCTGACAAGACGTCTGAACATTTGCTCGCCTTCTTCTCCGGGCGTGTCATGTTACTGTCCAAACCATCAAGGACTCGCCTCACGAATTTCATCATCATTCATTGCACTCAATCATTTGGCTAGGACATGCTTGCAATATGTTGGTGCAATGTCAATGTCAACGAACTTACCATTGACACATATCTTTGCACATCTTTAGGATTGGACTGCCCACCAAGGCGCTGAACCCAGTTCGTATGACCAGAGGGTGCATTCATACCAGATGTTGACGGTCTTCTTCAGATGTAAGATCCACGAGCGCTTCATCTGCAAGCCAGGTGGATAGAGGCTCAGCACCATGCAGCCCCTTAGCAGCGCAAATGGCATTCAGACACTGACATCCCTGGCCACTCAATGGATGACTTAGCAAACGGATGCGTTTGGATTCGGGCAAAATTTGATTCTAATCTCAAGCCTATCAGTGGGTTGCAAACAAGAAACGCAACAGACATGCAAAATAAAACCGCTTTGTTTCCACACACCGGCATTCCACATGAACTAGTTGGTTGCAGCATGACTTCTCTAAATGAACTCCAAGCTTCCAATCAAAAGACATAGCCTCGGATTCCGGTGTGACCGTTGGGTCCAAGCCGTTGAGGTTGTGGCATGTCACAATCCTTTGGCAATCCCTTTGCCAGTCTTCTGACAGCGATTGGAAAGCGACTCCAACCTCCACCCCAAAAGCCTCAGAAGTCAAGCCAAAAAACAATGATCAAACGCAGCTGTATCCATCCGATAGCCAAAACATGTTGCTGGTAAATTTCCTTGGCCCATGAAAACAAAATTGCGTATTGCAACCACCAATTCCGTTCGTGTGACATTCTGAAAGTCAAGTCAAGTTGCTTCAAGGACTGCCGCCACAAGAGATACCATGGCAGAAGTTCGATGGAAGCCCCGACTGCAGCAAATCCTGCGAAATCACAAAGAGAACTAGTTAGCCACAAAAGCGAAATGTAAAATTTTATAAAAGAGACACTACCTAACATCCAACAAGAGAGCAAGAGTGTCCAGCAATGCCATGTGTGCAGTGAAGCAGTCCTCAAAAGCCTGCCAGGCTTAGTGAGAAGGATTCGCAGGCATTGTTGCGCACGAGGGTGCCGAAAGACACTCTGCATGATGTGGGATTCCAGACCTGGTTCTTCTCCATAGCCACCCTTTGGTCCTCCGCGCTTTTCCCTTAGTTGTCAATGCTTAAAATTTCACCGCAGGGGCTTCATCACAAAAAGCACAGAAAAGAATGAATGTGCTCACTGATATCAATGTGGCAAATTCCGAGATTCATCTTCGGCAAAAGTTGTGCCAACCGATGTTCCCAAACATTTTCACCGAAGACCTCCGGAGGAATCTCCCCGTAGCTGGACACATACGCCTTCTGGAATGCTCCTCGCCTCTTCACTTGGACTTCCATCTGCCAAGGCACAGACATTGTGATTGAGCGAGGTAATTGTCAAAACTACTTCCCCATGCCATGCGTTCTCTCAGAAACAAACTGCTGTATCAGAAGGACACTGAAAAAATATTCTAGTGTATCCTGGCTCTACGTAGCATCGAGCTAGAGTTTTTCTGACAAATCCGTAACCTTGGGTAAGTTGGGCTTTGCGATTTGACTGACATCAAAGAAAACGCAGCACTTCTCGCCTCAGGGCCCCAGACCGCATTTGGCCCCACTCCATAGCCAAGGATAAGGACGCGAGCTGGCCAATTGATGGTTTCACCAGTTGGAAGTTTCACCGGGATGGTCTGGGCGGCCTCAATGCTCAAGCAAAGCGGTTGAATGACAAAGGCAAGTGCACGAAAGGGTTTCTGCAAAATTGACAAATTGGCCACTCAGCCAACATGTTGACTATGTAGGAACAAGTGAAAAGCCCTTGACACAGAAGCGGCTTAATGAAAGAACACCAGCAACAGTGACTGAATAAGTAGTAGCACTGCTGAGTGAAGGACTAAAATAACAGCAGCGAATTAAGCCCATGTGCAACTACCTCCACGTGGTTTGGGTGGTGGGCCTTGGCATTGTCAGCCATAGCCCTATAGAGAGTTTGCCCGAAAAGGAGCGGATGTGACCGCCAAAAAATACAAAAGACCCCACAAGATACGGTTGAAACCGTCAAGAAGCCCAATAACAACAAAGTCAAAATGAAAAACCTCGGAGTCAAGAAGGGCCATTTGAGTCAGGGGCACTCACCGCTGTTGCTTGTGGTGTTGCTGTTGTCCTGCTTTGGCTGTTGCAATGCAGCTGCTTTCCCTCAATCCCCAAAGACCCCCTTTTCGGGGAATGTTTCTGGGCTTTTTTGGGGAGACGGCAACTTGGCTGCAAATAGATACCACCTTTGCCCAACGGGCACCCTACCGACCGTTCCTTCCTTAATGGTGCTGACTAGCCATGGACACGCGGGGCAGCAGCTGCTTCATGCTGCTGATGACAGAAATTTCATTACAATTAAAAGCTTGGCCAGCCTTCTGCGGTTGCGCGCTGGTTTCCCAGCGCCTCGCTGCAAGCGGGCTGCCTCACTTGCAACTTTGGCAATTAGACAATGTGGAATTCACGTCGGTTTCCCCTGGCGTTTTGTTCCCAACACAATTTTCTGTTTCATGTGGTTCTTCCATTGGATTTCCAGGTCTAAGTCTAGAAGAAAGAGACAGAAACATAAGAAGCGATGTGGCATACATCATGGCAAACGCAAACCTACTTCCTTCGGCACAAAGTTTGGGCCTTGCCGATGGATTAAGGGAAGACGTTTCAGGGTCAAAAAAAAGAAATACCGATTGTTGGGTCTCCAAAAACGGACGACCTTGCTTTTCCAGCTGCGCAGAGAGCGTTTCACTGGAAGACGTGTTAGCACTAGGCCCCGGCAAGTGCAATCTAGTCCGTTCGGCAAAGTCATCTCTTGGCTTTGTGGTTGGTTGGGCATTCGAGTTGGTGAGGCCCGACATCCAGGACCCAGGGGTGGCAACCAAACCAAACGAAAAGCAGATGATGACTTGGCTGACACTCACCAAGATAGTCACTTGGCTCAAGCTCTTTTGCAGGTCCTTC